AGGGTTTCTTTCCTCCTAATGTAACCACACACAAAAAATGAGAGAAAAAATTACCAATATTTGTAATTGTAAAAATACTAATTCTCCCCTATATTTACTTCAAAAGCATATGTAAATGACCTTATATGCCCATAGCTGATTCTCCTACGATGTGAAAGTCTTGGGTTCAACTCCCATCATCCACTTCACCGACATGAGCTGCCACCCACCATTAGTTATCCTAAACAATTCTTAGCCGTTAATGCATACCGAGTTAAATTCATCAATGATTAAGACAGACGACAAATTACATCAATGACTAGGACGGACAACAAATTACATCAATGATTTGGTTGGACAATTGATGGTAGCAAAATTCCTTCCCCAAAAATAAAGTTGGCAACAAAAAGTTGGGACCGCTTTAAGCAAAATTCCTTCATTATTGTAAGCCTTTGTAGGAAGGACATTATCTGATATAGCACATTTACCGCGAAGGTGTTCTTGAGGGGAAATCATTTCCCACATTTGATAATGCTGGGAAAGTAACCGGGAAACATCATTTTATTTTCTTTCTTATGTTTGTTTTGAGTAAGAATGGAAAACAAAGTTTGTATAAATTTTCAATTATACCAATATTAAATCAAATAAAAAAAGAATGCATTTAATAATATATTGTAATTCTAAATTGTTAATGGGAACAAAATGGTCATAAAAAATATTTATTTAATATTGGTTAATTTTCCCAAACTTTCTTATGAGGAGGGAAAACAAAACCCAAGTTAGGAGGATGACTTCACTTTCCCTCTTACTTTTCCATAAGCCAGACAACGATTTCACATGCCTGAACTTACCAAACATCATAAAGCAGTTAATTATCCATCCTTAAATCTCATTTCCCATCAACCAAAGGGGCCTTCTGAGAAGACGACACCGTCCCTTGTGTCGGTCAACTACTAAAACTTTCGTCGTTGGAAAAACCAACGAAAGCTTGTCCAAACGAACGTCAAAGCCTTCGAGCTTCACCTCCTCCACCACCGCACTGATCGTACGGACACTCTCAACTGAGTCCATGGAGATGGAGTCCCGAGATGGTGGTTCTGTATTTGCCCACATTCCTAAGGTTCCTGAAGTACCACTTTATGCGGTAAAGAAATGCATTTCCCACATTTTTCTTAAACTTTGATTTCTTTGTGTTTGGTTATAACTTGTAAGAATGATTGTTTTTGGTTTGAAACAAGCAGTTGCAGGTTGCTTATGGCAAAGACCCGAGTCCCCTGAAGCTGAATTTGGGCTTTGGTGTTTATAGAACAGAGGTGGGTTTTCATCTTTTCACTTCAACACATGCATTGTAGAAAATATATTTACTGTTTTGAAAAGATGGGTTTGGATCGGATTGCATGTCCTTAGCAGTTAACACCAAAACAAATTCTTATTCTTGTTCAAATTCTTATGTAAGAGCAGGATGGGAAGCCTTTTATTTTGAATGTAGTTAGAAGAGTGGAGCGCTTACTAGTTAATGACATGTAAGGTGTTTCATTATTGTTCTTGCATTTGTAACTTTGCTTCAAGTTGTGGTTATGCTCCACTTTGGATGATTTTCCAGGTCCAATTTTAAGGAGTATCTTCCCATTACCGGAATCGCAGAATTCAACAGATGGAGTGCTAGACTCATTTTGGGTGCTGACAGGTATTTGAGCCTAAGCATAATCCTTATGATAGTACGCTAATTAATATTGCAAAACATGGAGCCCTCTATATGATGCATAATCTGGCTGACATTACCGTGTGGAGACTGGGTAATTGCCTTTTCATCCTTGAAACAGTGTTGTATTGTAAAGATCCGGGTTGTCATTGGAGTTTATCTTTCTTTATGAACAATTTGGGTTTCTTTTGCTGATTGCATGTTTCATTTTTCTTGGAATAGCCCTGCTATTAAGGAGAATAGAGTCACCACTGTCCAATGCTTGTCTGGTACTGGCTCATTGAGGATCGGAGCTGAGTTTTTAGCGAAACATTACCCCCAAGTAAAGCCCTTGTCCTTTACATTTTGCATTTGTATGTGCTCGTAACTGACTGTCACTTGGCCTTATTGTGTCCCTTGCTCAGCACCATACAGTGTACATGTCCCAGCCAACATATGGAAACCACCCAAATTTGTTCTCTGTGGCAGGGCTAGCAATAAAAACTTATCGTTACTATGACCCAGGAACATGTGGACTGGACTTTCAAGGTTTTTCACTTTTCTGTTTGGAAATGCTACTTCTTGTCTTATCATGTTTTGGTTTTCCATTACCTTTTATTCCTCCCTTTTATGGTACACTGTATTTATTTTTTGTCAGATATTAATAAGATTATACAAATTATGATTGCGAATATATTTGATTAAAATTCGACAATTCTTCTGCTTCTAATGGTCTACCTACCCCTTTCCACTTGTGAGTTGTGTGACATTAACCGAGTGTTCTTTTAATCACATATTGTGATTCATTTTTGGTGAATGCCAGGCATGTTGGAAGATCTCCAATCAGCCCCATCCGGAGCTATCGTGCTTCTCCAAGCATGGGCTCATAACCCTACTGGTGTTGATCCAACTATTCCACAGTGGGAGCAGATAAGACAATTGATGAGATCAAAAGGGTTGTTACCTTTCTTTGATTCTGCTTATCAGGTAAGGCACTGTTTCCTTAAAGCTCAGAACAGCTTCAACTTTGCAGTTTTCTAGGATCCCCCTAGTGTTAAGCCTGTGGGAGGTCGTACCTGAGAACTTGGTGCAAGTGTCCTGATCTTGATACCTTCATCTCCTGAGCTCTATCTAGGGTTTTGTCAGTGGAAATCTGGATGACGATGCCCAATCTATTCGTCTGTTTGTTGCTGATGGCAGCGAATGCCTTATAGCCCAATCATATTCGAAGATTATGGGGCTTTATGGTGAACGTGTTGGTGCACTCAGCATTGTAAGACATCAATTTTTCCTAGCAGTTAAATGCCTGAAAAACAAAAACATAACCAAAAAACCCACTGCTGCTGACTTTTAGACCTTGTTTTTTCAGTACCAGTGCATGTATCTATGCTCATTGTTTCTTCAATTTTCTGCACATATATACATCAATGGATTTCTAGCAATTAAAATTTATATAGCTTTTTGTTGAATAGGTTTGCAAGACAGCAGAAGTGGCTAGCCATGTTGAAAGCCAGCTGAAACTTGTGATCAGGCCCATGTATTCTAACCCACCCATTCATGGGGCAGCCATCACGGCTGCCATCCTAAAGGACAGGTATTGGATTATACAAACTCATTCTGGTGTCTGCCCTTATGCAGTTTAACTGAGAACATCAGAATCAGGAAACTATGGCTTATCTTTATAAGTTCAATAAGTTCTTTTCACATTTGGCTACTCGTTTCGACTATTGTCCCTTTTTCCTATGCGATTAAGCTTTTGAGATTACTGGTAACTTGATGGTAGAACAAACTTCTTTCTTAAATGTCTTTCAAGATTGTGGATGCTTTGTTTGCAGGGATTTGTACAACGAATGGAGTATAGAAGTGAAGGCAATGAATGACCGCCTTATTAGCATGCGCCAACGCCTATTCGATGCACTGTGTGATAAAGGCAAGCATGATTAGTCACCTAAAAATAGCCTTTTGTTTCCATTGTTTCCAGTCATTTTTGACAACTTCTCTTTTATTATTTGCCAGGTACTCCTGGTGACTGGAGTCACATAACCAAACATGTGGGGATGTTTACTTTCTCTGGATTGAACCCTGAACAAGTTGCATTCATGACAAAAAAGTACCATATCTACATGCCATCTGATGGGTAAAAAATCATAACACTTATCTTAAGCTCTTTTCTCCAATGCGTGTGTATTTGCACATATGTACGTATTAGGGTCCTTGGCTTGATACTGTTGGTCCACGTAGAATCCTTCACGGAAATTATCCTAGACAACACAAAAGACTTTGGATTGTAGCCCTTTCCACTGCTACTCACTCCTTCTAAACTCCATTACCAATTTACCAAACATCATGATTTTTTGATGACTTTGTTCATCGCGATGAAAAATCACGTAGAAAACTTACAAGATTATTATGTAAAATCATGTAAAAAGGAGATTTTAGACTTTAGATTCTCCAAATTTCTATGTTCTGTTCATTTTGATGATTTTTCATCATAATCTCATGAGTAAATGTGTCTTCTTTCTTTCTTTATTTATTCAAAATATGGGCTTTCTGTGCAGGAGGATTAACATGGCGGGTCTTGGTCCTAAGACAGTTCCTCATCTTGTAGATGCAATACATGCAGCTGTTACCACCCTTTGTCTAAATTAGTTGCACACCATTCTTGCTTCCGTGTACACCTCAATCTAATCTCATGATGTACACATTTGACCTTGTAAATTTTAATAATCCAATGGCTTAGATTACTTATTATTTGTAACCGTTGATGATATGTAAACTTCGCATGCATCAGTGGTAAAGAACTAGCTTACAACTCATCGACGGTGAAAGGTGATCCGATTTCTGACCATTAATATATCTCATCAGGGTGAGAGAGATGTATCCATATCGATACGTTAACGGTCAGAAATCGCCAACCGCAACCCTTACATAGATATCTTGGGTTGGGCCTCGACAATCGCGAAATATGATCGGACTGAGACGCAGCCCACACCTCTCAACCTCGAAGCACGTGCCAACCATAACATCCAGTGGGCTATGTCCACGTATCTTGTTTTGGACAGCTATCTCCAAAACGGTTTTCCACGTCGCTCGACTAACAGCTTCAATCCAACGGCAAGAAGCAATGCCCCGGATGAAATCAACGATGACCCGTGGGTTTCTTTTGTCTTTGAAAAAATAATAAAATGGAGCAAATAATAGAAAATAGGGGAAAGTAGGGTGGGGCCCACTTAATTGGACGTGTCACGACAGAGACGGTAGGCCTTCATGACTTGCCACGTAAGCACCCACGTAAGTCATTTTTTCGATTTATAAAAGGAAATGCCCCACCAGTCAGAAATTGTTGCTTTTCCTCACTGATACACCAAACCCCGAACACGAAAAAGGCGTATTTTAAGCTTGGAACGAATAAAACTGCCTAACATGCGCCCACAGTTCACATCACCTGACGCCCATAGTTCTTCTCCTGCCTTTTCTTCTTCTTCTTCTTCAAGCAGCAGTGATCGGAGGATCAACGCTCTCGTGCGTCACCTTGATTCGTCTGCCATGGATCCTAACAACAACAGCTCAATCTCTGCTTCGCCAACTTCGGCACATGCCAATTCTGTCTTCGCTCACGTCGTTCGCGCCCCTGAGGATCCAATCCTCGGGGTACTCTCTCTTTCTTCATCTCTGCTTGATATTTGTGTCAATGTTTGTATGATATTTCAGATGTTCATTTGTTTTGTATTAATTTTGGTTTTGATTAAACTGAACAGTTTTGGTGATTGATTTATTTGAATGTTAACAATATTTTGATTGTTCGTCCCTAAATCCTTAGAAATCTTCGATTTCGATCGTTTTTGATTGTTTTAATCTTCGCTTGATGTTGATCATGATTCATGTGTCATGCATGCAACTGATCCTCTGATTTAGTTGATCATGCTTGGTTTTGTTTACCTGATTTTTTAACCATTTTTTAAACATGTTTATTTGGTTTTCTTTGTCAAACAAACAGGTGACTGTTGCATACAACAAAGATCCGAGCCCGGCTAAGTTGAATTTGGGTGTTGGTGCTTATCGAACTGAGGTGAGTCTGTTATGGACTGAATTTAATTATTGTTTTGTAATATTTTGTGTATCATCAGACAAATGTCTTTTCTAATGTATCGATTGAGCGTGCCTGCTCACATGGTAGTAGGAGATGCTGATGTTTGTCTCATTGTAAAAATCGTGGTTGTCTAGTAATTTTTTATTTTAAATAATAACAATTTTTTAAAAAAAATTTATTTTGAAGACACTGTCGTTGATGGTAATAGTTTTGATAGTGGTTTTTGAATGTGTAAAATTTCTAAACTGCCTTTCTTCATGGCATGACAGGAAGGAAAACCACTTGTTCTGAATGTAGTGAGGAAAGCAGAACAGCTGCTTGTTAATGACAGGTGGGTTATACCATTTGATTTGCACTGTTAACTAAGAAGCCAACGTTATTGACATTAAACTGATTTCTACTATTAGTTGACGACTTACGTTTCAAATCTGCATTATATTCCAGGTCTCGCGTTAAGGAATATCTGCCTATTGTTGGACTGGCAGATTTCAATAAACTGAGTGCTAAGCTGATTCTTGGTGCTGACAGGTACAAAAGACTGTTTATTAACGTTCAGATCCCTTGTTGTTCTATTAAGTTTTTCCTTTTTTGAGTTGTTCACTTGTTTACCTGGTTTCATGCATGATTTACTTGCTTGATACAGTCCTCCTATTCAAGAGAACCGGATTACTACCGTCCAATGTCTGTCAGGAACTGGCTCATTGAGAGTTGGAGGTGAATTTTTGGCAAAGCATTATCATGAAGTAAGTGCTTACTTGTTGCATCACCTCATGCTTCTACCATTTTCTGGATTTTTATTCCGAGAACTTGACCTTGTCTATTTTTCTGCAGCGCACAATATACATACCCCAGCCAACATGGGGAAACCACACAAAAGTTTTCACTCTGGCAGGGTTGTCTGTGAAAAGTTACCGATATTATGATCCAGCAACGCGTGGCCTCAACTTCCAAGGTTTAAAATTAGACTAGTTAATAGTTACTTATTGTTTCTGTCGCAGTTGAATGTTTCCCCTCCAACTGTTTCATCTTCTTTCAGTTGTATTTTAATTGGCACTGTAGTTATAATATCACTAAACTGCTTATGGTTCTTCCCATTGTCAACAGGCCTCTTGGAAGACCTTCGTTCTGCCCCAGCTGGAGCAATTGTACTTCTCCATGCATGTGCTCATAACCCCACTGGTGTTGATCCAACCCTTGATCAGTGGGAGCAGATCAGACAGCTTGTGAGATCAAGAGGATTATTACCATTCTTTGACAGTGCTTATCAGGTAGGTCGTGTATGAAGTTCAGAATCTTCTGCACACTAATTTGTTCTTTTTCTATTTTATTTTATTTTATTGTGCTATTTCTACTTTTAATGCCTGATGTTTTCTTGTATTTGTAGGGTTTTGCTAGTGGAAGTTTGGATGCAGATGCAGCGTCTGTTCGTAGGTTTGCTGCTGATGGTGGAGAGTGCCTCATAGCTCAAAGTTACGCGAAAAACATGGGGCTCTATGGAGAACGTGTTGGTGCCCTAAGCATTGTAAGACTTGTTCAATAACTTCCAGTTTGGGATTGCATTATTTTGATAGATCCAACAAAAAATTCAGAAGAAAAAAACTGCCCATTTGACTTTTAAAAAAAAAAAAATCTAGAATGTTTTTCAGACCTATACTTTTGGCATACATCTTAAGTTATCTCTTGATTGTGTTGTCTGTTGCAAATTCTACTCTAACGTAGGTCTGCAAGACTGCTGATGTTGCAAGTAAGGTTGAGAGCCAACTGAAGCTTGTGATCAGGCCCATGTATTCAAACCCACCCATTCACGGTGCATCTATTGTAGCCACCATTCTCAAGGATAGGTACTCTTCAAACTTTGTCCAGGTGCCTGTGAAATGACAATAATTGTATTGATGCGTCTTCACCTAATTATTGAATTCCACTAGATTTTTTTTTTGTCTCGCTTTGACTTATAGTTACCTTATCGCCTTTTTCTTCTGCGCTCAGGGACTTGTTCAACGAATGGACAATTGAGTTGAAGGCAATGGCTGACCGTATCATCAGCATGCGACATCAACTGTTTGAATCCTTGCGTGCCAAGGGTGAGTACTTCCATATATGACAGTCTTGGTCATGTAGATCATTAACTAAAGTAACAATGTAATTACTCATTTGATTGACATAGGATATAGATTTACTTCCATATATGACAGTCTTGAGTAGATCATTAACTAAAGTAACAATGTAATTACTCATTTGATCGACATAGGATATAGAAAAATCGTTAATCAACATGGCAATGAGTCGAATGACAAAGGAATAGCGTAAAGAAATCCAAACTCTTTGCCGTTTTGCATGGTTGTTTTACCTTGCTGACTTTTATATTCTGCAGGCACACCTGGTGACTGGAGCCACATCATCAAGCAGATTGGAATGTTTACCTTCACAGGATTGAACTCCGAGCAGGTTGCTTTCATGACTAAAGAGTACCATATCTACATGACATCTGATGGGTAATCAACCAGCTTTATTTCTGAATATAATTTTAAGGTTCTGCTGTTGTGTCTGTGTTCGTCTTCCTGTTGCCTATGTTTTTATTGTTATCCTTAGTTAGCACAAGGATAAAATGAAAATTTGGTAGCAATAGACTAATCCAAACATTGATATCCAAACTCGTCTTGATACGAACCGAGTGAGGGTTTGGCATAATGAGGTGAATGAGCATATGGCTTAAGTTCTCTTTTCATTTTTGGCAGGAGGATTAGCATGGCTGGTCTGAGTTCGAGGACCGTCCCCCATCTTACAGAGGCAATACATGCAGCTGTTACTCGCGTTGCCTAAAATCATGTTTCCAGGGCAACATTTTTCGTTTTTTGTGAGCCAAATCCATATCGAACTCTACCCTTTCCAGATTTTTTGTTGTAATAATTGTTTACCTCATTAAATGAGGTTAAAGATTTGGCGAGTACGAAGTGAGCGATCTAGAGATGCGCTGTACCCTACCCAGGGTCTTTTTCACAGGGTTTGTGAGTTTTTGTTTCAACCTGCTACCTTACAATATACATATGCATCTTCTTTATCCCCATGGTGCTGGTCATGCTATTCAAATGAATGGCATTGTTTCCAACTTCTAACTTTCCTTTCATATTTTTTAGCATATAAGGAATCGAAAATTACGCCGGTTTCACGTTAAAATCAGGAATTTGTCAGGAATTAGATTGATGAGCAGTTGATTTCATACTTTTTCATTTGCACTCTTAATCCAACTTTCCTATTCACAACTTCAATCTAATTTCCGTAAGTTGGTTAAATTGTTATAGTAGAATTGATTAAAAATATTTGATCCTAACAAAATTAAAATAATATACTCTTAGCACAATAAATATAAGAATCAGGGATTAGCTCATAAAAGAATTTCTTTCAATCAATTGATTTACTGGATCCAGCCACTAACAAAAATAAAAGCAGGAAAAAAAAAAAAAACTACATACATATATGGATAACATAATTTACTAAGGCAACTCTGGAAAAAAAAAATATATAGGGCAACGGATATTATGGTTACAATCTTTTCTTACAAGAAGCTTTTTTTATCTGCATCCCTTCAACAAATAACTAGACGGACTTGAAAAGGTTTTAGCATTAGAAGACTTGGCATTTTCTATTCCCTTGCCAGGTGTCCCACACTCACTAAAGTCAAGGGTGCGACGCTCCACCTACAGAGATGAACAAATTATCTGCTCATTTCACAACGTTGATAAGAAAAAAAACAAACCTTTTTTTTTTTTTTTATAAATTCAAACCATTTCATGAATTCTTGAAAAACCCAACAAAAAAAAGAAAAATTAAATAATCATACCAAAACATTTGCAGCCGAAAGGGAACTGCTCCCAGGCTGATTAGGTGGGCCATGATTGTTCTCAGGGTCCACCAAGGCTTGGTTTTTACGTCTTTCCCTGAATAATGTTTCAGGGGTTTCATTTCCAAGAACTTCCTGGGCATTGGCATAGGCGGCAGCAGTCTGCTCACTTATCTGCTTCATCAACCCAATCGCATCATAGCTTCTATCCCCAGGGCTCATAAAAAACCCAATATCCTGGAGAGAGGAAATCACATTTATTAATTAAAAGTAACACATTTACCACATAATTTGAGAAGAAAACCAGAATTTAAGGTACCTCAATTGAAATTTCAGTATCAACCCTTGGGCCAGGTACAAAGGAGTTGATAAACCAAGGGGATTTCCATGCTGAAGGAGATTCTATACTTCGTTTGAACGGAGTGTCACCAAATCTATCATTAAGCACCATCACCAAAGAAACCCATCAGATATCGATAATGACACTGACAATCAGAATGAGAATGATAATGAAAAAAGACTAAATCTTACATGTTTTCAATACTGATATCATTCCCAGCATTATCACCAGTTGTTTCTGGGGGAGCTGACAAAGAATCAGATTGTACACATGTATCCACAAGTGAGTAACTTTCATGCTTTTTCACACATATAGTAGGGGATTTAACCGATGCGCATTGTCTTGCAGAAAAAGATTTAGAAGGGACTCCTGGGTTTGTAGCTTCAAAGCTTTTACGAAACTGACTTCTAGGAGTTTTAGTACTTGTGCCCAAAGCTTTTTCAGCTTTACAACCAACAGGAGAACACAATAGCAGATCATTTGCGTTATGTTCAACAAGAACTCCAGAGGTCTGTTGCGCCTGAAAAACATAAGGCAATATGAGAATTCAATATTTTAAACAAATGCAAAATAAAAATCCACCTATATGATTGGCCAGTAATACACCTATCCTGAAATTCACAATATATCTCCTGATAAAAAGCTGATATGTGAAAATACAGGTAAGAGAAACTCACAATTTGTGAAGTGGGGACAACATCAACCTTATTCTTAGCATCAATATCAGCAATTCCTTGGAACTGCTTTGTCTTTTCCTGGGATTCACCGTTATCAAAATCTTTATGTGCAATTCCATCATCTGATAATGCAGTGCTGTCAGTTCCTTTTTCTATTCTGCTTTCACATGTACCTTTGTTCTCTTTATCTTCACTGGGGGAATCAGAATTCCTATTCTTATTAGAAGATGGAGAAAGTAAAGTTGTTTTTTCCTCACTATCTTCAAACATAACATCAAGACGTGAAAAGTCTCTGGCCAAGGAGGAGGTCAGGTCAGTCCCAAGCCTTTTATCAATTCTTCTATCCGACAATGGTGACAATGGAGACAACAAATCTCGGTGTCGTTTCTTCAAAATAGAAGGCGTTCCTGTAAAAGTTTTAGCAGCACTTTTCAGCACAGCATCGGGGCTACTCTCACGAGATGGTGAATCCCATAACCTATATGGAGTAAGGCAATTCTTGCTGCATGTCATTACCAGATTGTACAAGATCACAACTAAAAAATGGAATATCCAAGCTTGGAAAGCGAGGAGGTTCATAACATAGAGCTCCGCCATCCTGCTGTTCTGTCTGCTCATCTGACCTCACATCCACAGGACAATTTTGCAAATCCAATCCTGAATCAAATGTATTTACAGGTACTAATTTTGAAGGATCCTTAACCAGATCTGATTGCTCTTGCATTCCTGTATCATTGCTGGCAGAGTCATTGGCATAGATAAACCCGTCATTTGAATTTGTGACAAACTCTTGCTCTTGAACCCTGAATAAATGACTAGGTTCTCCAGCATATATAAGCGGACCTTCATGAGCAGAAACTACTTGAGAGCACGAAGTTCCAGTTACATCAGAACTCAAGGGATGATATACTTGTGAAGCTGAAGTTCTCCCAGTTTCAGATATCTGGAGGTTTGATGGTTGTAGAAGTACTGAATCTGTGCAAGCACCCAAATCAACCATGTTTGCACCATTTGTAAAATCTCCAGAGGAAAAACATCCACCATTCATTGCATCTGAAAATAATACCCTGCAACATTCATCGTCAGATATCAACATGTGCTCTGATTTAATAAAACCCACGGCCATATTCCCCATGGAAGTAGAAGTTTGAAATGGAGCGTTCGCCCCTTCATGGCTCTCATTACAACCCACACAATGAGTATGCATCCTTGATGATTCCTGGCCACATTCTAGTGAAGAATTGATAGGTAACTCATGCAGATTAAACTGGAAATCCCCACTCATTGAAGCTCCAGCCTCATGTGAAAAATTTTGCTCTATGAATTTGGAGCAAACCATTTCAGGAGGTATTTCTGGGATGGAAAAAGTCGCATCTCCTACAGATGGGTAATATGGTTCTGAACAAGACGCTGGACTGCAGCTTGGGTCATTTCCTAAACGGGATACTTCATTTATCTGAAATTCCTCTCTAGGATGTGGTACCACATTGGTCATTTCCGTTGCCGAGAGAAAGCAACCAGCAACAGTAGAATCTTGACTGCATTCTGAAATTTCTTCTCCTTCTGCAGCTTTGGCACCACTATCATCTCCACTGCTCTGCATTCTTGAAGAAGATGACAACACAGATTGGTTTTGATGTCCAACATGAGGCAGTCCTTGAAACTGTGTAAGTAAACCTGATTTCAAATAAGAATCCAACTTCTTCTTCACAGAGCTGTTCCAGTGATTTTTTATAGCATTGTCTGTCCTGTTGACCATGCAAGCATAGATATATCACAATTGTTGCCAGTACAACAGATTAGAAGAATATCTAGTTATACTAAACACCCATAGTAGCAAAGGAAAACATTTCATTTTGTTTCACAAAAAATTTAAGTAGAAATAACAGAGACTCTTTGCCTCCACATAACGTATGGGCATACCTTCCAGGCAAGAACTTCGTTAGCTCTGCCCATTTGTTCCCATACATTTGATGTGCACGAATCAGAGCCAGCTCCTCGTCCTGTGTCCATGCCTCTTTGTTTATGCCAGGATTAAGATGATTATGCCACCTAAAAGTAGTTTCAACATGGTCAGCAAAAGAAACAAATATTGGAATGGAAAAATATGATAAACAACCCAAGAGTAAATCATTATAATAGTAACTCCACTAAGGGTTAACATGCACAACCTGATCCTGGTGGACCGTTGAAGATTTACAATTCTGTATCAATGAAATCATCCACAATAAATTCTGTTATCATACCTTTCCCGGCATTGCTTACCAATACGTCCAGGTAAATGTTGTGCGATAGTGGACCACTTTTTTGGCCCGTATTTTTTCACCAATTCAATAATAATTTCATCCTCCTAATCAATTTTGCAGAAACAACTAGTAAGGAAACATTACATATAAAAAGAGAAAACTTATTTGATCAGACAAAAAAATTTCAAACACTGCAGAGAGGAAATCGACACAAAAATAAGACGAAAGTAGTGTGATACCTCTTTAGACCATGGACCTTTAACCAGCTCTGGATTCAAGACTTTCTGCCACCTATGTAGGCATTGCACATCAGTCCGATCCTTGAAACACTCCGCTACACATCGCCGAGATTCACAATTAAACAATGCATAGAACATATGTGAAGTAAAAAGTAGCACCAATTAAGACAAAAATGCTTCGTGACTTCAAATAAAGGAAGATAAGAGGGAGGGATGCACAGACAGAGGGAGTTAGAAGGAGAGAAGGCCATAAAGAGAAACAGGGCTAAAGTTTAGTGAAAACTATCTTTAGTTTCATGACATACTAATGGTGATGGACACAGAGTTCCACAATAGTACCTATTTTTTTCCAATTCTTTCCTTTAAAACGCTGAACTGCCCTCCGCAAGATTTCATCCTGAATATAAAGAGAGAGGAAAACCATAAGCACTACATATTCCCAAAAAAAAAAAAAAAAAAAAAAAAAAAAAAGGAAAAGAAAAGAAGAACGAATGAAAAAGATGTATCTACACAAGAAAATTTATTGAAATAGAAGCGCAATGAGTTGAGAACTGAATATCAGTGATATACCAAATAGAGCAGCAAAAATAATTTATATCACAAGATCCCATTTTCTGCTGAATAAGATATAAAGAGCCCATGGTACAATAGCTGCTTTTGGCATCAGGTGTTTTTTTATGTACCTAACTATAAACTTACGTGTCTTTGTGATAGTTTGTTCTTTTAAAAGCAAATTTACCTCTTCAGGTGTCCATTGTCCTTTTGTAGAACGCCTTGTAGGCCCACTAGTCCTCCTACAATAGACTTGCATAATATTAGACAAACATTGATTCATATAACAGATTCTCAATTGAAGATAATTTTAAAATACTAAAACAAATGGCATACAGAGAGAGAATCCTAAAACATAGAAGATTGAGAATTTAATAATACACACATTGTCACATACAAGACACACAAGTAAAAAGTTAACAATGTCCAACTTCTAAGAAATGGTGGTAATAAAGAATGAACATATGCACTTTAGTTAAAAGTTCGCGGAAAGTGCTGAACACATCCTTAGAGTAAATATCCTTCTTTCATTTAATTGAAGATGATCCAATCCATTGACGGGACCAAACACGAAGTTGATTACTTTTCAGTTTTTGAATGAAGTAAATATTCAAATCAAGATGGACAACTGGAGATGACATCTAAAAAGCAAGACTGGATAGTTTTCAATAGAATTACCCATGGAGAGCTCTAACTTTCTGAATACTGTCACCGAGCCCTTCTGAGGGAGTAGAATTTGTTCTGTCACCTTCCATAGTTTATCAACAGACAGGTCAAGCTGCATACCCCAATTCCTACTCGACAATTCTCTTCTGTATTTGCACTCCAAATCATTATAATCACCCTATGAAATGGTAGGACCCACGTTGTTGCACAGAAAACCCACAGGCTGGAAAAACATGAGCAATGATAAAATTAAGAGATATTTCGCTCAAAATTGAGGATAAAAACACAACAAGAAATGAAGCCCCATGAAGATGAACAAACTAAAAATAAAGAATTGAAGAATTCAAGCTGAATTGTGGTTTGATGCAGGAAAATGAGTAAGTTTAGGCAAAACATTGACAAATCAAATCAAAGCTGGCACAGCAAAGAAATATAGCTATGCTCACTGGACCACATCATATGCCCTATAACGATAAAGAACATGAATTACAAAGAAACCAAAACACCCAAGAAACTCAAACATAGCAAATTATATCCTAAAGCATCCAAAACGCAAAATTCACCAATTCTACAACTACAAGCTCAACAACAACAAAAGTAACTCCTTGATATTCAAACTCAAAATGGTATTGAGTAAATTTTTAAATAGATCATATCAGACTCAAATTCAACTGAAAATCAATGAACCATTTGTCAATATCCAACAGATTAAGCCATCAGACAGGAAAGAAATTGTTTACACAATTCAAATTCAAAACAATCCAGAACTCACATAACTTAAAATTGGGGTATCAGGAAAGCTTCATCAAATTAATTCAATCAAAACAAAATGTTGGGATCAATAAAGAAAAAACCCAAATGTAGTCAAAATGAAAACCCTAAGCCACTGACCGAACTGAGCTTGGAAGAGCGAATTACAGAGATTCCACACAGAGAGAAAGTCGACGATACGATCGAAACAGAGCACATTTGAAGATCGAAACGAAGAAATGCAAAATTTGAAAAGAGATCTGCACACACAGCGCAGAGCAGAGAGAGAGAGAGAGAGAGAGAGAAGTGAAACGGTCCAGAGCTCTATTCAAACATAAAGGGGCGGACTATGGGAGTTTCAAACCCTCTGAGTTAAAGGTCGAGCAAGTTTCAGAGGCCGGACGGTCCAGATTTTGACACGTAGGAACGGAAGCCGGCCCCTCTAGACCTACTTTGCCGTATTTTTTTTTAAAAGTTCAACGGACAAGTTAATTTTCTCCTCTTTTGATTTTTTAAATTTTTACTCAAATTCTTTTTGGGGCAAAATATTAGGTTTTTGAAATTGTAATTTGGGTAAAGAAAAAACGCAACTGTAATTATGGCGGCTTTGTTTTCTAATGGGAAAAATGAAAGCTAATCTCAATCCACTATGTATTGTCTATCCGTTGACCGCTTGTTGGGTTTTCAAATTTGTTGATTTTTCGTTTGGTTTCATTTATAAATTAAGAAATATTTGTTGACTTATATGGGTGAATGCGTGTAAACTATAAATTCATATATTTGCTGCATGGCATTATGTATTTTGCAATTGTAGAAGGATGGTTAATTAGGAATAATTAGTAGAGGGATAGTTAATAAGGACCAATTAGAGAGAAAATGAGGAGATATTTGAATGGAGAGAGCTTAAGAGAACCTTTTTAGACTAGGGAGATCTTGTCAACAAGGTCTAACTTGGTGGAAAATAGCATTGATCTAATCTCAGGTTCGGATCCCTACGACATCATAGTTATCCCTCATTCTCTCTAATTTAGACTATCGCTCTAAAAATAAAAAATAAAAAAGATTAATAAGTAGATCTTAGGAGGGATAAAAAAATATTAAGAGAGGATCTGATTCCCTTAAGAAATGGATATTTCTCTGTACGTTTTCATGAAGTATCCATGGTTTCTGTTATGTTATTAAATGAGTCACCAAATACACTACAATATATGACTTTACAGTAAAACTTTTCTAATTGATTCTTATAAAAAATTTAGTTGTCATTTTTTAATTGATTCTTATTACATTTTATCATTAAAAAAAAATTAATCTTAATTTTTTTATTATTATGATTTTACGGTAAACTTTCATGGTTTCCTGAGAATTTAAACTTTCAAATATCAGCAAATAAAATACAATAAAATAAATTAGGAAAATAAATTTGAATAATTATATTATTCGAGTTACACAGGCAGAGACAGGGTAATGGAACTATATTATTGTATTATTGTTCAAAACGAAGAAAAAAAAAACCACCAGGCGATCAAAAAGCAATGTGCTAATAAACCTAACATATCTCTAAACGGTATTGCACAAAATTGATCCCAAAACAGGTTTGAGATTTCTGGATTGGAGGCTCTCCTGTAGCTCAAAATTTCCGGGCTCTGTTTGGGCGACTTCCGTTGTCATTGTCCCTTGATCGGCCATGTTTCCAACCCCTATTGTTGTGTCTCCCTCCCCTGGTAATCGCAAACATAGATCGAAAAATGGAAGTGAGTTTCAGATTAACTCTGGATAAGATTATAACACGGAATGAAAAGGAAGCAGGACAAGTGGTACTAACCTTCCTCCTCCGCGGTGGCTCTTACTATCGCGGAATTTTTCTTGGTGGCCACGGAAGAGGCTCCAGTACTCCTTTTCAGCCTCACCTGAAAGAATATCAAGCAAAACAACATTGAATACAACAGAAGAAAGAAGTACTACTCATGAAACACCAGGATGCTAGACAACCACTAAAAATGAAATAAAGATGAAGGTTGATGCCTACCGCTGACTGGTTCCAAAGTTGCAATGAAATTCTTCACAACCAGACCTCCTAGGTCAGTAAGGACTGCAGCAGCACGTGCTTTCTGAGCTGCTTCAGGCTCTTCGAACCGAATGTATCCTGATTCTTCTCCGATCTTAAAATCAATGTACTTAACATAACAGACACGCATGTTAAAATGTCAGAACCAAACAACTCAAGCAAAAACGACCATGCAGAATACCAAGGATCTACCTAAAAGTTCTTAACTGCTATCAGTAATCAATGAGAAACACGGTGATTAGGGCATATTTGTCAAACCCATTAGGGTTTACAAACGACAGAGATGGAAGAGGAAATCATTTAATTCAGTCTTCAAATCCTGCTTAAAAAAGTAAGATAAAATCATTGTGGTACCTTAACAGTGCCAAATTTTTGGAATACACTCTTCAAATCCTCACGCATAACAACATCCATGTTATCTTTGTATGCGGCAGCACTCAATCTTTCTTCCTTCTCTCCACTCTTTGCAGCGGGAACTTCAGAAGGATTTTCCCCATCTCCAGTTTCCTTTCCTTCACCACCATCTGAACTATTCTTCTCATCAGCATTTTCCTTATTCTCCTTAACATCCTCTCCAGGAATTTCTTCATCTCCATCACCTCGGTTAACATCTTCCGACACCTTCTTTTCAGTTTCTTCGGTAGCATTCTCTGAAGAATCAATGTGACCATCAGTTTTGTTACCATTTGTACTACCATTAGCAGTGGCAGGAGTACCACTATGCTCTGCAGAACCTTTATCTGATGTGCTCTTTAACGTGAATGCAACAATCAACCCTTTAGGATAGCTGTAACATCATAAGTATTAGTTAAGCAGGTTAAACCCCTCGAAGGGAAAGAACTTGGAAATCAAATATTATTATCTACTTACTCTGCCTCTGGTTTTGAGTTATTCTTGCGGTTTGTATCGGTCCGAGGGCAAGCCTCATACTCCTTTACCTCTCTTTCTCTATCAGTATCAAAATCCTTCCTGCATCAGGCATATTCTATTAGAAGGAGCAGATATACAAACAAGGACTTGCAAGCACACAAACAAAAATCATATCATTTAACAATATGATATATCCATTTAGGCACATTTAATATCAAATGAAAAAAATTTGTCAGAGGAAGAATGTAAAGGGCCAGAAATGTATCTATTTTTGGTGATTACAAGCCATACCTTCTTGGATTGTCATAATTTCATTAAACACAACAGCAAAAACACACTTTCCCACGATAATGGATAAGTGAAACTTACTTTGGTTTTAGGTCTAACTTGAGACCTGAATAATCCAAAGATTGCTCCAGGATCTTATTGGCTTCTTCCTCTGTGGAAAACTCGACCAAGACAGTGCCGCAAAACAGCTTTTTGTCTGCAACATGACGGGGCAGCCTCACACTGTTAACCTGAAACAATGGAGAACAAATTCTTACACTTACAAGTTACAACAATATACAGTCCAGACTAATTGTCAGCGTTCAAGCAAACCATAACAATTTAAATAACCAATTTGTTAATCTACTTTGTGAGTTACATCAATGACCTGATTTCTACCTTGGCAAATTGTCCAAAAAATGTTTCGACGTCTTCAAGCTTTGCATCATACTCAAACGGTGAAGCAGCTACGGTCCTTATGTCTACCTGCTCTATCAACTCCTCTGGCTTCAGGATTTCAGTAGACCTGCCAACCTTTGTGCCTAAAACACATAATTATCATAAAATTTGTCAAAAGGATACATTCATTATCAATCAGAAACAAATTTTCAACCAAACCTAGGCGATCCTCAAACCCAGGACCTTGCCTGAGGGAGCAATTGCTACAAACCACTAGTGTAGTGGGTCCTTTGCTTTCTACTTGCATTCTATTATTGAAAAATAACAGTGAGAGGCCAGAAAAAACTCACCGTCTTCGGAAAGCTTTAGGGTGGTAGATTTTCGAAGAGTTTCGGCAACAGCCTTGACTCTATCTTCAGGGACACTGTCTGGCTTCACATCCCCCAACTTGAGATGATTTCTCATCCGAGTAAACGAGCATATCAAAGCCAAGCTAACCACTAAACGTTCACAGTCAAGGTCAACCAAAACTCAAATATCCAAAGCGTCAACAAAACCAACAGAAAATTGATTGAAAAATACATAAAATGCTCAGAACCACAGCACAGCTTTCAAACAAAGGATACATCCTTCTTCGCTTTCGCTTATGGTTTTTTTGAGAAAATCGTCCCGAGGAAGATTGCTATCGCTGAAGTAAAACTCAACCTGCAAAAACAACAAAAAAATCACAGTTAGTTAGGAAATTAATTTGTCAGAACAAAATCAATCAAAATTTGGAAGCGTTTGAATATGAACCTGGCGGAGCACTTTCTTCGAAGTTTCTTCGTCCAATGAAGGCGTCGCCATTGTTGGGAGAGAGAGAGAGAGAGAGAGAGAGAGAGAGTATGTGTGTTTTTGTGTAACTTGCTTGGCTTCTAAACAGCGAAAGCGAACAGAGGAGAGGTAGAGAGAGAGAGAGAGAGCTCCTAGGGTTTTGGCTTTCGCAGGATATTTTAAGCTTTGGTTTGGGCTTTGAGTTCGTTTCTGGCTTTTAAACTGAATAAATCCGAGTGGGCCGGGTTTACTTAACAGTGTCGTTCCAGTCAGTAATTCTCCATTTATCTGCCACGTGTATAAACAGAGAATGGTGGGACCCACAAAGTCAAAGGACAGGGGGCAGCATCTAACCGCCTGCAATTAACTTGGATTTTGGTCGATCACGCTTCACGATCACACGTTAAAAAATGGTGAAGAGCACGATTGAAATTTGCATTTGGCATATATCTTCGTATTTAAAATTTTCACGTTAAAATCTTTTAAAATCTAAAGACACACGGATGCATACAGTTGCATAGTAGTCAATGCTAAGTCAACGGTTCGATACAGAGTGGTCAAACGCAAGAATTTAGACCCAACAGCTCTCAAACTTTAAGTTTAATTTGCAGTCAACAGCTCTCAAACCTTGAGTTTTGCAGTTTGTCCATCTGAGTTAAGTCCTCAGTAGTCATTGTCCTAATTCTAAGTACAATTTATTGTGTGATTCATGCATTTACGACTGACAATCAATCATAAGCCACAGGCGTAGCCAAGTATAGATTGTGGTACTTGTGAGGGTTTTGGGACGAAAAGACCATCACTCAATTAGTTAGCTTTCAAATCAATGTAAGATTATGTAATTGGCTACTTGGTTAGGTCTCAACTAAGCTTTACACCTCATGGCTATTGTATTGAATTGAATCATCCACACACCCCCAACTCAATTCAGAGACCTACCAATTTGAATATAAATGAATCACTTCTTACTCATTGAATCAATTTGTATTCAATTTGGGATAGAGGTATGGAGACAAATGTACACAAAACTCCCATCAGAAATGGGCAAACAATTAAGAGTTGAAATTCAGAGGTTTTGGGGAATAGTACTTCATATTTCATTCATTCATCAACAAGGCATACATACTACTAACGGTAAATTAGACTTTGTCCTAATCCACAACTAATTACATAACTATCGCAACATTAAGAACCGTTTGATATGGCAATTACCACATCACAATAAGATTGGAAGACAATCTGATACATGCATACAGAGATTCAACCCCAAGCATAAGAATATTAATGTCCACTATCATTCCTTTTGCTCCCTCAATCTTGCAATATTAATTTCTAATATTGTACAAATCAAATGGTTCACAAGGTCCCCTCCTTTTTTTCTCTTTTTTTTTTCTTTTTTTCAAATACACACTTATAGATGATTTATCATTCACAAATGTCTAAATATAAATACGGGTTTCAAAATGCAGTAAAATACATTTGCAAGAAATTTGACAGCAAAATAACAAGTTTATCTCCCATCATCCTGAATGAAGTTTGATTTGTGTGGTATCATCATTATGAACCACATACAACATGCAGTGACAAGAAAGAGACTTCCCCCAACCAAACTTCACCCATAAAACCCTTTTCTTTTTCTACCTCCATTTTTTGCATTTTCTCTTTTTCTTATCAACAGCAACAAATTACAAGGTTTATGACATATTATATTCATGAAGGGAAGTAACTTTTAGAACTAACTCACAAACTGAATGATAAACTGCAATCTTAATGGGCGGCAGGTAGGAGCATCTCACCCAACTCATAGACAATGATATCCTTACATGAAGTCCTCTTCCAGTTCCTGCAATGACTTGTTTGCCGATGCAATTTGTTTGTTAGATGTCATATTTTCAGAAACCATCAAGCCTTTGTAGCTCCTTAGCTCTGCTTGTCTCTCCTTCTCAAGCCTTTCCATCTCCTCACGTCGTTTCTGCAAAACAGTTTCATAATAAATTAAATTGTTTTGTTCAACACAAGAATATAAAATATTACATTAAAATAACCCAAGATACACAGCCTGATTGCAATTCATTTGATCAAAAACAAGTTGGTAGTTCTATTACTAATTACTAATTATAAATATATATATATATATGAAACTATTCTATTATTAATTATATTAAGCACTGAAGAATCTAAAACCTAGAAGTAGTACAAGTCAAAAGTTTTGGGGTAAAGCTTAACATAAAAAAAACAAAAGCAAAAATGCAACCCAAATTCGGCTTTAGTAAGATGAATAATCCACACAAATAATCTCAGAACACTACCAACCTCATATTGGCCAAGGGAGGAGGAGGAACTTACCTTGTCCCTCAGCAGCTGCTTTCTCTCAGCTCTTTCTGCTGCATTGACCGCTTCTCGCTCAGCTGCAGTTACATTTCACTTGCAAGTTAATCATAGCTCCAATATGGCAGAACTAGATAAGGGTAACATATGAAACTAATATCACTTATGCACGAGCTATATCCATACAGAAAAAAGTTACATAAGAGATAGAGACCAGAGATATCAGAAGGAAACAACAGTGCCACATTTCCTCCATAAACAGCAATATGAGTACTATTCTTCAAGACAGGATCTTTAGAGCAAATTTCATCTAGACAATTAAGCTGTGACAGAAAATTTACCTTTTAAATCAGGCTTCCTTTCCACTTTTGTCCTGTTCAATCTATTAACTACCTCATTAATCCGCTTCTCCACTCTCACAGTTCGAACCTAAATAAAGTGTCATAGTTGGACAATGATCAGTATCTCCAAGCATGCTGAACCCAATGAAAATACAAACTACATGGCATGATACTATTCTAGATTATAAAGAAACTCACCATCTTTGAATTGTAGAAACCAACTTGACCAACATCCATGGAGGCAGTTTTCTTCAAATTGGACCAGGGAGTGTAAACAACATCGACATTGTTCACCTTGTTGCCTACAATATTATAAGTCATTAGAACACCACAACAATGCAGTTGCCTAATCAGAAGAAGGAAAAACAAAACCCTTTTGTAGAGGCTTGGATGGAATTACAAAATGAAACCAAATTACTCTAAAATGTACGAATTAATTAAGATAATACCTTGGATGGAATTTGCTTTGACAAGCTGTGCGCAATCCTCCAGTAAACCTTCACTTATACCATCAATGGTCTGTCCTTTGTGCAGTCTAACATAAACATGGGCAGAAGACATTTTATCCACATGGAACCTAGATCACCAAAAATCCCATTAAGTTTTAAGCTTGCATGGAATGCTTTTCTTAATAATAATAAACTCCTTTTTTCTTTCGGTTTAGTTACTAATAACAAGTTCAGACTATCAAACTCAGGAATAATGCGTAACCATGGTATGAATTAAAGAACCAATTACTCCAAAAACCGTCTAAACAAGCATTTCTTGAACATTCAATATGTACACTAACATGGTGGTATCACAAAACTGCCAATCGCTCTTTCTATATAAACGCATCAACCGCATAATAAGCAGCCACGCTTGAAGTAATACAATTAACAAAGCACACAATCCCAGAGCTAATGCGAAAGAGAACATAGATCAAATGTCTCACACCAACCACAATTACACTCTGTTCGTCCTGTTCACAGAAAGCTTTGCTCTTAACATTCAAAGTACACAATCTGCGTCTGTCAATCGTTTGCAATTTGCAACCCTAAACCCTAATTCTTGATTCTTGACCAGCAAATTTCAAAACTTTGCAAGAAATGTAATTGTAAATGGAAATTCGGATAAAAATTTCTAATTGGAATAGAAATCAGATAAATTAGAGAAGAGGAGGATGGGAGATAGATACCAAATGTCTTCGGGGAAGCCATATTTGATGAGCTCCTCGTTCTCGAACTTGTCGAGCCCCATGAAAATGGTGTAATCGCCAACTTCGGATCGAGCTTTGAAGTAGAAGACCATCTTGTTCGTTCGGCCCTTTGGAATTCGATGCCACAGAAAACGAGAACCTTTGAGGAGCTAGGGCTTCCAAGTTCCACCTTCCAGCTTTCCAATTGGGATTTTGGGCACTGGAAACTTTTTCATTTTTATTTTTATTTTCGTTTTTGTTTTTGTTTTGATTTTGCTATTTTTTGTTGGGCCTGGGTTTCAAAAATATTTATGATTGGTTTGAGATTCTTAATTCGTAGGGTCAATAATTTCATCAATTATTTGACGACATGTCGCATTGGACAACTGGCCACCTTTTTTGACTTGGAGATGACAAGTCGTATCAAGTCGAACCTGGCTGGCAATGGGTCGTGTCGTGTCGGGTTCGTGTCGTGTCGGGATATTAAACGTGTCAAGAATGCTCAACCCGAACCCAACCCATTTAATAAACGTGTCGTGTCGGGTTCGGGTCGTCTTTTATCGTGCGGGTTTCGAGTCGTGTAACGGGTTGATAAATAATAACATGCATGTTACAAAAGTCACAACTGAAAAAATTTAAATAAAATAAACAGAGAGAGGAGAGAAAATATAAGGAAAAGAAAGAAAAAAAAGGATAGAGAGAGGAGAGAAGAGAGAATGAAAACAAAAAAAAATAGAGAGAAATAAAAAAAAAAAAAAAAGAGGGGAGAAAACTAAAGAGAACGAAAAGAAAGAAAAAAAAAGAGGGGGGAAAAAACTAAAGAGAGGGAAAAGAAAGAAAAAAAAGAGAGGAGAAAAGAGAGAAGGAAAAGAAATTAAAAAAGAGAGAGGAGAAGATAGACGGAAAAAAAAGAAAAACAAAAGAAGAAAAAGAAACATTATAAATATCAAAAGGCATAGTATATAATTACAAAGTTGTATCTAGCATGGTGGATAAGGTGTTGGAGAGTAATGAGGATGGAGGAGGTTCGAAACTCCATATGTGTGTTTTGAAGTCTCTATTTCCCTATATTTTTTCGCGGGTTGGCGTGTCTTACACGGGTTGACACGACCCGTGACACGACCCGTTTAATAAACGGGTTACACATGTATTTTAACGGGTTGGCGGGTTGACCCGAAACCCACCCGTTTAATAAACGGGTCAAAACGGGTTGACCCGAAAATTACCCAATTATTAATCGTGCGGGTTCGAGTCGTGTTTTTTCCGTGCGGGTTTCGAGTCGTGTAACGGGTCGGGTAGGAAATTGCCACCCCATTGGGGACCACGATATGAGACCTAGAACCCATAATTGACAGATAAATTAGGAA